CACACTCTTTTCAAGATAAAGTTATTATCTTTGCATCAAATGACTTTTGAATGGGTTTTAAAAACTTTACTGTCATACAAAAGGTCCATCAATTAAAAGGGCTTAAAGTGTCAATTTATTTTTTGGTTTATTTCTTCAAGGAACAGTGCAATAATAAGTGAAAATTTTAGACAACAAATATTTTGTTATCTATTGAACTGTAAAGGTCTGGGTGGGATGCCTCTTCAGACTGTCGGTGTGGACTTGACGGACTGAATGGCCTACTTCCACACTGTTGGGACATTATGACTGTAAAGAAGATAGCACCGTATTAACTAATTTGTTTATGTTAAAACACAATTCTCCATTTAATGTTGCATAATTGCTGGAGAATGCTCGGTTGCAACATAGAGGCCTTGGCCAGATGCAATCTTTCCAGAGAATGTCCAGTACAAGTCAAATTGAAATTATCAAAAGAATACAATTTCAAAGCAGAACACTCAAAATAGATCAGAAATGGCCACAATAATAAAAAAAAAATGAAATCATAGTATTCCTTCACAGACTCACCATTCTAGGCAAAAAAAATTAGTTATTGAAATTGCTATCCACAACAGAAAAATGTCAATCTAAATCTGGACAACTCAGAATGCATGGAAGAGCATTCTGGTAGATTCCCTGGTTTGCATAAATTTACTTATGACAAGTTTGTACTGGTTTACAGAATTACATACAGACTATTTAGCAAAATTGTCTGCTCCAGCACTTACATGAGTATCCTTGGATCCCCTTTCCTCTGTGCTTATTATTACAAACAATATCTGCATTATTCGCCTACTTACAGTAGCAACTTTTGCTCTTTTGCCACCAATTTATGTAAAGGTGCTTCCCTGGAATTCTCTATTAGATTTATTGCTTAGTAATTTATATGTACAGTCCCTCGATTTGGATTCCACACCCTTTCCCACTAACCCAAGCAGAAAGATCATTAAATCTACCTTTTAAACTCTCCACAATTTTAAGGTTCCCCTCAGCTTATTATCTTCTACTGAAAAGATCCCAAGCTTTTCCAGCCTTTCATGATAAGTATATTCACTCAGTTCTCAAATCATTGTTGTGAAAACTTTCGTTTGCTCCAACCCCAGTTCCTCTGTGGCCTTTTCGTGGGAGAACAGAATTGTGCACAGTACCCTCAGGCTGTACTTCAAGCAAGATTCTGTACAAGTTTAACATAACTTGCGGGCTTCTCAGTTCTATTCCTCCAAAAAAAAAAATGAATCCCACCCCGTGCTAGTTTTGAAGGCTTATTGACTTGTGTCACGACTATTAGTGACTTATGCATCTGTACCCCTAGCTCCCTTTGCTCCTCTACCCTATTCAGAGTCTTATTCAAGTAAGGTATTGTTTTCTCAGTTTTACTACCACACTATATTTGCACATATAAATTAGCTTCAAATGTCAAAATGAAAGGGCTGATTGGGTTACAACAATGTACTTTGTCCTCAAGCATCAGGACACAGGAGTGAAATATTCCTATTTTGTACCTATTCTTGCCTTGTAAATCTTTGCTTGCCGTTCATTTTGGATAAATACCAAATTGGTAGTAATAATTTATATTAATGTTACTGAAACAGCAACAGCATGGTTCTGTGAACTGGTGATCACTGTTTTATAAGCACCAACAAAAATACTTTGTTTCAAGCAGAACTATTAGGGACAGGCAATAAATGCAAGCCCAGCCAGCAACACTCATGACCCCACGAGTGAATATAGAAAAAAATCCTGTTGCAAGGAACATCTTTTGCAGAACAAAAGATCGTATGCCTCCACATTCTGCTTCATGTTTCAACCTGCTCACAAAAAACATGCAATCCAGCCCCACACTTCCTTCTTTCACAACCTTAAGAATATATAGAATGTGGGGGAAAATTATACCCCTTAACTGACAGAAACAAGGCAGGGGGCAGTTTAAATGTTGCTGAATAATTAGCGACTAAACTCTTTCCAATCTGGCCAACTCCAAACAGCAAAACACCATCAAAAACCTACATCCTTTGATTAGTTTGCAAAGCAGGACCAACCTTACCCTGCAGTTCACTCTGTCTTTGCCCCGTACTTAAATATTCTTCTAGTTTCTCTGTTTCCATTCATGCCCGCTCCTGGTTCATCTTGTCCACAAGTCCCACTTCCGAGCCTCTCAAATATATTCCCCTCAACTACAGATCATCCAACTTACTATGCTAGCCCCTATGTGAATAGCTGGTTTTCCCCTCCCCTTCCCTCTAGATCTACCATCATAAACCTCTCTTCTCAAAGACAGCTTACCTTCGAAACCTATTATCCTTGTAAACTCCCACGTCAACTTCAATTCCCTTTTCCCTTCTAAGTTCTTACTAGTGTACTGATGTCTCCCAAATCTGCTCTCTCAATTTTTGCAATGGCCTGTTTGAACTACTCCAATCAGGGTTACACTTCTACCAGACTATCAAAATGGCCCTCAAAGTCACAATTGATATCCTATGTTATTATGGCCATGATAAAGTATCCCTTTACAATCTTGTTAACCTGCCTATGTCATGGTTTATTACTGCATCCTCTTAGAATATCTTTCCCATTGGCCAGATGGATGTTACTGACCTTGCTCAATTCCATTCTGATGGCTTCTCTTTTTATTTCTTTATTCGTTCACGGGATGAGGGCATCTGTAGCTAGGCAGCATTTATTGCCCATCCCTAATTGCCCAGAGGACAGTTGAGAGTCATCCACATTGCTGTGGGTCTGGAGTCACACGTAGGCCAGACCAGGTAAGGATGGCAGTTTCCTTTCCTAAAGGACATTTGTGAACCAGATAGGTTTTTCCTACAATTGACAATGGATTCACGGTCATCGTGAAACTCTTACAGATATTTGTTGAATTCAAACTCTGCTGCTGCAGGATTTGAACCCAGGTCCCCAGAACGGTATCTGGGTTTCTGGAGGAACAGTCCAGCGATAATACCACTAGGCTATCGCCTCCCATCCCATAATGTAACCTTTAGAGGCCACCAAAGGAGAATGTTCTTCTCACAGAGGTTTGTTAATCTTTGGACATAACTACCCAGACAGCAGTGGAGACTGGGTCACTGAATATTTTCAAAGCTGAGTTAGACAGATTTGATCAAAAAAGGAATCAAAGATTATGGTGGGCTGACAAAAATGGAGTTAAAGCCACAATCATGTCAGCTACGCTCCAATTGAATAATGAAACAGCTTCAAAGGTTCAAAAGGCCTAGTCCTGTTTTTGTCTTGTGTTAAATGTTGCTCAGTGTCAAAGTTTGTTTAATACAGTTCAATTAAGTGCCTTGAGACGTTTCACTGTCTTAAAAGGTGCCATAAAAATGCATGTTGCTGTAGTACACAAAAATAACCAAAGGCCTGAGTTTGGAGCTGTGATGATGTCTCTCCTAATATAAAGCTATTATGGAATGTGCCAGGTGCAAGAAGAGGCCTAGCAGCTAGGCCCTGTTAGGAAATCTTTGGCATCATCTCACAACAGAATAATAGACAATAATCAACCATATAACCAACATTTGAACTAGTGACAATCCCATTGCTCAATGAAGTAGTGTTGGTCCCCCCACATCTGCGGCATCAACAGCAGGAAGCCCAAGGATTCCCAGCCAAAGCAGAGGGGACTGAGTCCTTGCAGGGAGTGCACTTAGGACTGTTGAACTTTTACCTTTATACTTTATTTTTCCACTTACTACTAGGAAGGACAATAACAACGTTAACTTCCAACTTTATTTTTCTATTTATACTAAGAACAAAGGTAATGTTTTACTTTTAACCTTGCTTCTCTATGTTATTATTTGTACTTAAGTTTTGTACCTAGGTATCTTTGTACTTAAGGTGACACCTTGTTTTGGGACATTGTACACTTTTCACTGTACACTTGTACTGGACTACATCTGACAATAAAGCTTGAATCAAATCAAAAAGTAACTCCACTACAATCACTCTCCTGCCTTCTAAGAACATGTAATTGGGACTGCATCTAAGTCATGATATTTGGGCAGAATCGTCAGCAATAACGTCCACTAGATACAGCACTGGGAAGAGATGCTTGTTATCATTGCATTAATTAATTAACAGAAAAACTGCCAACAGAATTAATGATTTTTGTCAATGGTTAGCAATCACTTTCTCTGTGTAAAGCGCAATTGTGGGATTTTTCTTCTTTAAGAACAAGTTGCACGTATCTAGGCACCATCTGGTGGACTTCAAATTGTAGTGCACAATCAGTGTGGATCATGGGTTAAAGCCAATGGTACCAGATTACATTCAAGTATCAGTTCTAATTTTGTTCTTTTTGTTTTCTGTTTCACAGGCAAAGGAGAAACCAGGTCTATCATTTCTATTTTCATCACATTCCAAGTGTGATATCTCAGACAGAAAATACGCGCAGGAGAGGGAAAGAAAGACAGATTGTGTGAGAGACAGAGACAGAATGAGCACACGGCTGGGTGGGTGTCATAGGGCTCGCACAAGTTCAAGACAGGGAGCTCATGTATCACACGATTGTGTACGAGAGAGAGGGAAGGTGAATCAGAGGAGATCAGCGTGCACAGGGTAGCAAATGCAAGAGCAGAGCTTTTTCTCCCCATGTCAAAACTTTGCAAATGCAAGCTGTTTATTGTCTGATACAAAGCTGCACTGATACCAGAGTTAACAATTTAAAAAAAAATTCAAACTGTCACCAAAATATTCACTTCAAGTTAAAACTTGCGCTTTTATACTATTTAATACTTCTAAGGATATCTTCTAAATAAGTTCCAAAGCGGACATTTCAGCAATGATTCTTACCAGAGCGGGGCACTTGCATCACAGATCAATTCTTGGATTAATAATGGTTTTTGAAGTCATATTTCTACACTTATTTCCAAAAATATCAACGTGCTTTTAAAGCAAATGTTATGCACCCTATTTTTTTGCAAATCTTCATAGAATAGACACTGCTTAGAAAATTAAGTGCCACCTCTTACCTGCGTGGTTGGGATCTGCGTTCTTCTTCTCCACTGTCAGCCTCCTGCAAGATATTAAAAAGGAAAAACTTTTTATATCCCCAAATAAAAATTACTTGTGCAAGACAATTCAAAAATTTAAACATCTTTCATCCTGGGTTTGATAAGTCGATTTGTATCTCATTAAAAATAATTCCAATCAACTACTAGGAGTAAATGCCACGGAGATGTAAATCGACCTTCACAAATGCGAATAAGGAATGTAATTATTTTAAAATGCACCAGGATAGTAATACAATAAAAGAAAAACGGGGAGAAGAGGGTAATTTTCCAGATTAGTATGTTTCTGGCCCAGCAGGAAGGAGACAGTTCTGGATCTGCTTGAGGGGAAATAAGGTTGCTGAGGGAGGTCAAGAGGATCAAATTGTCTGCAGAGCAACATTTGGGGAGGAGAGGAAAAAAAAAAATCAGACAGTGATTATGGTATTTGTTATCTATGCTGTGTTTGAACGTAGAGTTTAAAAACATTAAACTAGAGAATTGCCAGTTTCAGTGCAGAGAGAATGAATCTGTCAGTTAACTGAAATCAAAATCTGGCAAGTATAAAAATGGATGCTCTGGATACTGTCACAATACATTCTGACAAGGGGAGAAAGGTCAGAACACCTTGCGTGATGAAAGAGATAGACAGCAAGCAATGTTAAGCAGAAAAAGGGCACATATGACAGATATCAAGTTGATAATACAAACAAGAACCAGGCTAAATACAAAGTTCAAAGTTAAAAAGGAAATTATGAATTATTACAGTGCAGCAGGCTATTCGACCAGTGTCTTCGCCAACTTTTCAAATGAACATTCTCCTGCATTTTGCCTTGTAACCTTACACATTACTTAAATAAAAACAATCTAACACCGCCTTGAAAGTCTTGATTGAATGTGTCTCCACCACAGTTCCAGCTACATGCTGACTACTTGCTGTGTGAAAAAGCTTTTCTCACGTCACCTTTGTTTCTTTTGCAAATTACCTGAAACTTATGCTCTTGAATTCCGAATCCTTATATAATTGGCAACAATTTCTCCCATCCAGGGCCAGATCCTCATAATTTTGAAAACATCCATCCAAATCGTCTCTTAGTCTTATCAATGTCAAGGGAAACATCCCAACTTCTCTAATTATCGTCATAATGGGGGTCTTTCATCTCCAAAACCAATTCTTGTAAACCTCTTCTGCACTCCTTCCAAATTTTTCTCTCATGTCCTTCCCGAAGTGTGGCGGTCAGAATTGTAAACAATACCAACTGAGGTCTAACTAATGTCATACAAGCTTAGCCTCACTCTGGTATTAGACGCCCTTGTTAATAATAAAGCTGGGATTCTGTACACTTTATTAATTGCCCTTTCCACCAGTCCTGTTGCTTTTAATAACACATGCATACACATTTTTAAAAACCAACCTGATCATACATGATACATCTATGTAATCAGGTGGGACTTGAACCTGGGCCTTCTGGCACAGAGATAGGGATGTACTACTGCACCAAAAGAGCCTCCTCATATCCATGTATACATCCAGATCGCTCTGATCTTGCGCACATTTGAGTAGTACCTTTTATTTTATACTGTCTTTCCATGTTCTTTCTACCAAAGGGCACCTCACACTTCTCCACATCGAGTATCACCTGCCACTTACCTTCCCACACCATTAACGTGCCGATGCCCTTTTGAAGTTCTATACTCCCACCCTCAGTTCACGATACATGCAAATTTTGTTTCAATAGAAATTTGAAATTCTTCCCTGTGAACCAAGGCCTGGATCATGTATGTATATTTTATAGATACATATTAATGTCCTTCAATAAGGACTTATACAGTTAATGGCAGGACCCTGGTGAATGTTGCAGAAACAGAAGGACCTGGGGATGCAAGTTCATAGTTCCTTGAAAGCAGTGTCACATGTAGATAGGGTGGTGAAGGTGGTGTTTGGCATGCTTGCCTTCATTAGTCACAGCTTCGAGTACAGGAGTTGGGATGGCGTGTTGTGGCTGTACAAGACACTGGTGAGGCCACTTTTGTAATACTGCATTCAATTCTAGTGCTATAAGAAGGATGTTGTTAAACTAGAAAGGGTGCAAAAAGAATTTACAAGGATATTGCCAGGACTGGAGGATTTGAGTTATAAATAGAGGATGGATTGAATCGGGCTTCTTTTCCCTGGAGCTTAGGAGGCTGATGGGTGAGCTGATACAGCTTCATAAAATCATGAGGGACATAGATAAATGTGAATAGCCAAAGTCTCTTCCCTAGGATATGGGAATCCAATAGGTTTAAAGATGAAAGGGAAAAGACTTAGAAGGGATCTGAGGAGCAACTTTTTCCACAGAGAGGGTGGTGCACGTATGGAATGAGCTGCCAGAGGAAGTGGTAGAGGCACATAATTGTAACATTTAGAAGACATTTGGACAGGGGTACATAAAAAGGAAAGATTTAGAAGGATATGGACCAAACGCAGGCAAATGGGACTAGTTCAGTTTAGGATACCTGGTCTGTCTTCATGCTGTAGGACTCCAAGACTCTCTCCTTGAATGCATCTGATCTAGTCCAAGTACATTGTCAACTTTAGGCACAGTCTATCCAAAACTACCACCTTATCAATTTTTGAAGACGTCTATTGCCAGAGTTTCCTTTATGGCCTGGATAGTATCTGCTTCCTTAATAAAGACACATGCAATGTATTAATTTCATATTTTAGCCATACGTCCTCCTTCCATGGGTAAATTCCCATTATAGTCACTAAATCAGCCCTGCCACTCCTCCTGTCATCCTTATACTACAGTTATTTTTTAAAATATTAATTTATGAGATGTGGCAGACATTGGCTAGGTCAACATTTATTGCTCATCCCTAATTAAAGAGTCAAAGAGTCAATCACATTGCTCTGTGGCCTGGAATCCCATGTAGGCCAGACCATTAAAAGGATGGCAGATTTTCTTTCCTGAAAAGGTGTTATGGACCAGACCAAACACCCTCAAAACTATATTACAGAAAATAGCCTATACCCCAACTTTTTCTCGTTTTAAAAGACAAGTGTAAGATACTGTGTTCTAGATGCAATTCGATTGGTTAAACTATCAGGCTTGAAGCCAGTTAAAGTGCAGACAAAATCAGAATTAGCTTAAATTGTAACTGTCAAAGCACTTAAGACAATATATACGTAAACAACCACCAAATAGCAATGTCAAGATAGTAACATTCCATAAACACATGCTTGGCAAAGGCAAATTCAGTAAAATAGACTGTCTCACATGCAATATTTCTCCAGTCCAGGAGAAAAGAATACCAAGGGAAAACTCAGCGAGAGAGAGAGAGACAGACAGCGGGCGCAAGGATGGGGGCGAGCGAGCGAGGGCACGCGGGGGAGAAAGAGAGTGCGAAAGAGCGCAAAAGAAATCAAGTGTTCTGCCTTAGCAGCTTTCACAAGCCCAACAGCTACTGAAAAAGTTAAACTAAAATCCTGGTTCTGTGGGAGCTTGACCCTACCCATTCAGGCTGCTTCTACCATTCCAACTTTAAAAGAAACCCCAAGGCGTCACAGGCTGTTTATTTTCTTGGCTTGGAACAGATGCTTGGCACCTCTGTCTCAAACTCTCTTCATGAAACAATATCAGTATAAAATATACCTCTTAAAGCCACAGAATTACCAAAAAAGGACATTAGTGACCCAGATAGAATTTTATGACAACCAATACTGCCCAGATAGTCACCAATAGACCAGCTTTTGTTTCATTTCAGATTGTTATTGAATTAAAATTTCACCACCTGTCAAAATTGGGTTTGAAGCCATATCCCCAGAACATTATTTTGATGCTTAGTTACCAGCCTACGAACGTTACCACTGGGTCACCCCTTTCCTATGTGCTTAAAGACAACTTTGGGATTCCTTTTTATGTTGTTATATGTCAATTTTTTCATTATCCCCATTTGCCTTCTTATTTGCTTTACTCCTCTCCTCTGAACCTTCTGTATTCAGCTTAGTTCTCAGCCATATTTTCTACCTAACACATGCCACAAGCACATCTTATTCTTTATCTCAGTTTCTATTGCCTTTTTCATTCAGGTAGATCTAAAATTGTTTGCCCTACTTTTTCCTGTTTAAGGGAATGTTGACAGTGCCCAAACTCTTTTTTGAAGAGTTATTCAGCATTATTCAGTTGCTGGTTCTTCTCATCAACCTTTGACTGGAGCCAAATCTGTGCAGTTGCATTCTTGACCCATTGTAGTTGGCTTTCATCCAGTTAATTATTCATATTTGTATTATTCATTGTGCTTTTCCACCATCATCCTAAACCTGATCATATTATGATCCTGTGCCCTAAATGTTCTTCAACTGATATTTGATTTACTTGGCCCAGTTCAATGCAAAGAAGGGAGTCTAGCATTGCCTCCTTTCCCAGTTGAAACATATTGCTTTACAAAATTCTTCTGAACACCATCGAGGGACAAAACCCACTTTGTCCTTTACACTACTATTTTTGCAGGCTATATTTGTATAATTAAAGTCCCCACTTTTAACCAGTATATAGTGTTCGTCTTTCTGTAACTTCCTCGTAATTTTGTTCCTCTACACTCCCCCCATAGTTGGTGGCTCGTAGACTACACCAAACAATGTGATTACACTCTGTTCATTCCTCAACTTTAGCCAAATCAATTTGGTCCTTGAATGCTCTGGGACATTGGTTAAGCATTGCTCTGCTGGAGAAAGACAATATTGCCAACCCACCTTCTTTACTTCCTTCTAATCTTTTCGGAACAGCTTGTATCCAGGAATACTTAAGCCACTCTGCCCTTTCTTGAGACAGGTCTCATTTCCAACCACATTATGACTCCACATGGCAACCTGCACCTGTAACTCACCAATCTGATCTACTTTGCAATTTTAATCGCCACATCCCTGTCAACAGAGTCCCAGCTCTGCTCAGAAACAACTTGTCCAGACTGTACATGTGCCATCACCCCAGTCCCAATTTCCTGGAAATCTAAAATCCTCACTCCTGCACCACCTTTCTAG